CCTCAATGAAAAAGGGAAAAGCATCATTCTCACCTCATCATCAGTAAGCCCAGGTATTTTGAAAGTTTGGCACATCCTCAGGAAACGAGTAATATGTGCCACTGGGTCTTCTGTAGCGCCTCCTCCAAAATGATTATTGGACACCATGCTTATCACCGTCGACTTGATTTCGTAACGGTTGGCAGTAATTCCCTGCACCTGAATGCTATCATACTCTGAAACGTTTGGTGTAAGGAACTCTGCAATGGTCTGGCGCTGATAGAGTGGATTATTGTGCGGTACATATGGATTGGGTGGAGGCATTTGATGTCTAGGCTGGGGGGCTGGTTGTGGTTGAGTAGGTGGGACTTGGGTTTGGTTTTGAAACTGATTGGGGTATGGATTTTGGTACTGGGTCTGATTTTGGAATGTAGGTTGATTGATTGGAAGTGGGTTCTGTCTTGGTTGGAAAATGGGAATACTCTGCCCTGCTCCTTGCATCCCATAAACTTGGTTTTGAAAATTGGTTTCAGGAGCAGGGGTATTTTGAAAAAGGTGAAATAGTGGGGGGAGATTAAAGTGTGGGGGAGCAAATTGTGGTGAAGGCTGATTTTGGGAAAAGATCGGAGTGCGGTAATTTTGAAAACCTAGAGGGTTTCTAGGTGAAATTGGTGGTGAAGATTGGGGTGATGTGTAATGATATAAATCTGGCTGAGAAGTAGGGTTAGGATTACTAGACGACCCTATGTTTCCAGATGAAGATAGATGGTCCATGGTAATTTTCTCTTTGTGAGCCTTGCGGTTCTGTCTGGTGAGCTTTTCAATCTCTAGATTAAGAGGAATTAATGGTTCTCCCCTCTTGGAGCGTGTATGCATAAACAGATCTGACCTGCAAGGTTAGCAGACAAAAATTCCTACGAAAAACTAAAAAAAACGAATCGCTGAGTAAAATTAACCCTTAAGACCGACACCGTCCCCGGCAACGGCGCCAAAAACTGATGTGAGTTTTCTCGCACTTAAAAAGATTGTAGAATAGCGGTGAAAGTACGAGTATCGTCTCCACAGGGACGGTAAAAGGGGAATTACGGACTAAATAAAATCAGCGATAAAGAAAAGAAATAAAATAAATGCAGTCGTGCGAGATTAGGTTGATTGAGAAAACTAAAATTGCAAATAAACGACTAAAAGTAAATATTTGGGTTCTTCTTAATTAACGACGAAGGGAACAGGGATTGATTCCGGGGTAATCAGATTTCTGGCAGATCAGACTTAATTACATGAATTTAATTTAATTGAGCCTAGCTAATCAGTACTAAGTTCTTACCGCTCTCGCGGCGTAGAGTACAATAATTTAGGGGACTGGGCTGATCTCTCATGCGACATGATCCTAAATTATTGCCAAAGCGAACGAGCTTACGGCCCCTTAATCGCTAATTCGCTACTAATCTCTTAGCGAACGATTAAGTGTGTGTGAATGTGTCCTAGAATAAATTAGATCTCTCTTAATTCATCCTACATGCGATTGTAATTCTAGTGGCCATCTAGGTTACAAAATATAACAATTAAATTACTCAAACACAAATTAAACGACATTCATGCAATTTACACCATCAAGAACCTAATCATACATCGTGATTAACCCCTTCATCAATCCCAAATCCCTAATTAAAACTACTCCCGACTCATAATTGAAGAATCAATAGAATTCGGAAGAATAGAAATAATTGTCATTAATTAAAAAGTAGGAACTTACAAAGAATCTCAAAAAATAGAAAAAACCAGGGCTAAAAGCTCTCAAATTCGTCCCAACAGCTAAATAAGTTCCATCCCCTCTTAATTAGGGTTATGGGGGTGGTATTTAAAGGAAACAAGGTAATTTGGGCTGAATTAGGATAAAACGAGGTCAGGTACGGCGCCAGGCATGACCGTGCCTGCGACATTGCCTGCGGAATAAACCCGTTTAAACGCGTCCAGGCACGATCGTGTCTGGCCTCCAGTAGCTTGTTCCTCGTTTCACTTCAGGCACGGCGTGCCTGACTGCCAGGCACGACCGTGCCTGACCTCCAGTAGCTTGCCCGCTTCATTCCAAGGCACGCACGGCGTGCCTAACGCCGGGCACGACCGTGTGTGACCTTATTCTTCACTTTCTCTTCGTTTTCTTGTTCCAAACGCTCCCGGATGTATACGAGGTCAATCAATTATTCGTTCTTCGTCAAAATTTCGTCATGAATCTCCCGAACACGCATCAAATGCGTGTCTAAATACAGACTTATCACGAACTGATCGGAAAATGGAGGTACTTGATCCGACCGAATAATCAATGTACAATTCTTAGGATTGCGATAGATTAAGCATCAAGCCTCCCTTTCCACAAGTTAGAAGGTGATATTTATAGCAAGAGATAAAAGGCAATACTTGGTGCCCAAGCAAAAAGATGTTAGTCTAATAGGAGAGGGACACGTGCTGAGAGGATTCGTCCATTTGTTTCCGCTTTTGAGGTAGTCATCTGCCTGGCGCTTGCCTCCTGTTGACCATGTGTTTGACTTCCGGGGTCAGACCCGATACCGAGCTCGGGTGACTCAAGGTCGGGCTCATATCTTGTCGAGTTCGGTTGATTCTTGAGCATGTTGTTTCCCCGACCTCGAGGTCGGGGTCGGGCAGCTCCTTGGTCCTTAGTTATTTTGTTGTCTGGCGCTTGTTCCTGATCCTGGTTGGTCGGGCGGTCGGGGTCGGCATGTTTGTGGACTTGGTCTTTCTACGCACTCTGATGTGGCTCCGTGATGCCCTTCTATCTGCGACTATGATACCCCTGGGGTATATGGGAATGTAAGGAATAAACGTATTTAGATTTTGATGATGCTAGGTTAATTAGAATTTTAAAGTACCCCATTAGCAATTTTGTATTAGAATTTTTCCTTTGTAAGTATTAACATAGTCGACTGGCCAGAGACCCTCCTTGTCTTTCTGATCAGAGTTGCTCTCAGAGTTGCTCATCAGAGAAGCTACCGGAGTTGGGTACCAAATTTGGCATCAGAGACAGTCATCAGAGCTTGAACCAGAGAAGCCTCATCAGACTTGCTCTTACTTAGCAGAATTCGAAGGCACATTCCAACGGCCGTGAAATTAACGGGAAATACCCTAACGACTAGGAGCCATTTGACGGAAGCATGGTACTGTACACGCATTAAATGCTCAATTAATGCGGTACGTACGAAGATATATTTAAAGCTGATGATTGACCATGCGGATATCCTTTCGCCCCCAAAATAGCAAGTCGAAGGTCCAACCAGTCAAATCAACAGTACAAGCATTTAATGAAGCTGTCTTCTACACTCCGAGGGGAAGACTGCTCCCAGTATATAAGATACACTTCGAAGGATTGGAAAAACAAAGATTCAACAACTCTACTACGAGAAAATATTCAAACGCTCAAAGACTTCAACCTCTATTCATCATGAGCAACACACAAAACGTTGGAAAAGATTTAAACTTCATATCTTTTCTTTCCAACGTAAAATAATCATTCCTCTAGTTCTTCAACACTTCGAAAGCCTCAACTACACATTCTTTGTGAAGAAGCTACGTTGGAGAAACCTGATTTTAAATCACACACTTCTTGAAAAAGAAGGGACGTCTCAAACTAACTGGAGTAAGTGGAGTGAGGATACTTCCAAGAGACTTAGTGAAACGAGACCAGCCATCAGGAAGCAAGGACTGCATCCCGGGTGGCAACTAGACTTGAAAAAGACGAGGAGTGCTTCTTAAGTGGTAGGACCAAGGCATTGTAAACTATCGTTTTTACAAGCTTAGTGGAACAGTGGACTAGAGGAACACATTGTTCCTTGAACCACTATAAAAACCCCGATGTCATTTACTTTACGCATTTATTTCTGCACTCATGACTTTAACTGTTTAACTCAAAAGGTTGGACTCTGTCTTCAGCAGATCTTCCTTAAGAGTTATCAGAAAGGCATTTGCCTTAGTGTTTTCCTGAGGCTACCCGGACAGAACTCAATTCGCTGCCAGGTCAAGTTCTGCCATCAGAATTTGACCTTCTCTGTCACCAGAACCAGACCTTCTCTAGTAAGTCAGAGTTGACTCAAAGAAAAGTTTGAAAATCCTAAACAGTCTATTCACCCCCCTCTAGACTGTTCCCATTGTAAACGGGACCAACATGGAATATACTCCATCACACCCTTTCCAACAAATGCCAAACCGCCAGTGTTCCACCCGGATCAAACATAAGTGGTGTATCATTCGTCCCAAACATCAACCAAGCCAACACTGCCAAAGCAAGCATATGGCTATTAGCCCTACCAACCCTATCCACCATAGGTTCATGACCACCTCTGAAGTCGCCGACTACTTCCATCACACCACAGGAACGCCGTATTGGCCACCGGAGTGGAATCAACCCACAAAAGCGATTGTGAATCTAACAAAAGCGGTGTGAATCGCCTCAAAATCTTGAAGTCGACTTGTTTGGATGTGAGTCGTCAGCGTGAGTCCTCCAATGAAGCAAACGAAGCCACTACCGTAGAATTGTCGTGGAAGAAAGCTGCCTCGAAAAGAGCTCCGCTACCAAAACTAAATCAATTCCCTTGCCGTGATGATACCTGGAAGAAACAATCCCCTCTATGTCTTGCAACTAAGTTCCAAAGACCCACTTGAAACGTACACAAAACTGCCGGACAAATGAAAAATTCACCGCCGAAATAAATGAAAAGCTAGAAAAACCCTAGGTGTCGTCCGCTATGTATTCTGTTTGATAGTAAAACGACATCTACCTAATTAATCTAGTTAGAAATTAGAAAATTCAAAAGTTTGACCTAGATTTTAAGTTTGAGTTTGATTTAGGAAGGTTTCTTACTTTCTTTATTTCCCTACTAAGGAATAAGGATGTTCTTACATTTTACTTGGATTTATCTTCAATTTCAAATCAAACTAATTCAAATCAAACTAAACTAGACTTTAATAATCATTAAATAGACAGAGCAAAAATTCAACCTAAAAAAAAACATCCTAGATTTCATAAATTTCCGAAAGAGCCCGTTTCCCTCCATCCCCAAATCCCAATTAATCTAGGGTTTTAAATTTTAGTTTCAACAACACATCAGGTCGCTAAACGTTTTCTCCGGCTTGTTCACCAAAGACCACACTTTTCTGCCCGTACCCTAAAATGTATGCAAAGCATCCATCTAATTCTGCGTGATTGCAGAACCAATAATCTGACCGGCGCAAATGGCGTTTTCGTTCACTCCTCAGCCGCAGCAACAAACGTCACTATTTCAAACTCCGCCCAGTCAACCGCAACCGTCACCGTTTTCGCAGGTCAATCCCTTCTCGCAAACTCCACAGCCGCAATTCAACTTTCAACCACAGCAACAACAGCAGCAGCAGCAACTGCAGCAGTTGTTCTTATTCACCAACAGTAAGACGCCTGCCACTTATGGTACCAAATGGGCTGACCTTCATCCAGACTCTCAAAAAGTCCTCCTAAAAATCGAGTAAGTGTAATTTCCTGTAATACACACAGCTCAAAATGAGGAATGCCAAGCATACATGATGTGATTTTGTCTCGCCTGTTGTAAGTGATAGCAATTTTTTTGACTGTAGAGAGAAGATATTGGAATACAGAGATGAAAGTCAACGCCTTGACCAGTGCAGCCGGCTATATGATTCTTCTGTGTCAAATGATGGGTTTGAGCTAGATGCTAGTCACAGTATTCAGGTTTATTATCACCTGTTGTCATGCTGAGAAGCATTCTAGACTTTTAGTGCATTGTATTATTTACATTCTTCACTATTTTGGTACTCCAATATCTTGTTCTTCTCTAGTTCCAGAACCTAGAGAAGAACAAGCGCAGTAATATGCCTCAGGCGCAAATAAAGCTCAATATGAGCAGAGCTACACGCCTGTCGCACCTGTGCTGGGAAATGCTTTTCAACTTAATTTTCTTTTTGCATATAAGGTTAGGCCATATTTTAAAGAAACCCACATTCATATTAAGATTTAGCCAATCCAAATAATAGAGCAAAACAGCATAAACCCGGCATTCGACTCTCACCCTACGTAAATGGTAGCTTCTTCCTCATTATGTTTCTTTCTGTTTTCATCTTCTTGTTCTATTCAATTCTCCGTTCTTTCTTATATTCTATATTTTTCTTTCCTTACTGTATGGTCTATTTCTTCTTGCTTTATTTCTATCATTTCATCTAAAATTCGATATCTTTATTTGATTATTTCAACTGTTTTATATCTTCCCCTAACAAGTTCTTTTATTTATATTTTTTTTCTAACATGTTTTATATTCTAAGAACATGTATTCCTTTATATTGAGTTTTATTTATTTATATTTATATGAAACTTCAGTTTTGCCAAGAAAGCTGAAAGTAATATTGCTAATAGAATATGGTCTCCTCTTTTAGCTGAATTGAGCTAGATTATAACTGAACTTAGGTTTTAGTGTTAATGATGATTTATGAGTATGAATTTTTAATGCATTTAGTTCAATATGATATCATGTTTAGTAATTCTAGAATAGTATAAATATAGTCTAAACAGTCTGCTTGACATGAGTCAGGCGAGTTATTTTTTGCGCCTTGCTCCTCAGGCAATATGACAATTCTAGTGCCTTGACTGCACCGCGTGACTTTGACCACCTTGCATAGAACTGAATAACTGATAGAAGACTTTAACCACCTTGCATAGAACTGATAGAAGACTTTGATCATGTTTCAGTGTCTCATGGTGTACACTAATATATAATGAGGTTTCAATTCCAGTTTTTTGTGGATGGTATTGTATCTGTTCTTTTTTACTTCATCCACAACTATACACTTTCACTTTTATAAGCATCCAAGTCAAACTAGGAAGAAAATCTTGGGGCAGAGGGAGCAATTATTTATTTAGTAAAAAAGCTTGACATAATAATTATTTATCTATATAAGTAATATATATAATTCGAAAGGGAGCCTTGTCGCGTCGGTTAAGGTATTGTTGTGTGATCAAGAGGTCATGAGTTCAAGTTATGGGAGCGGCTTCTTGTCAAAATTTGACAGGGGATGGCTTTCCTCTTATACACCCTTGTGGTGGGACCCTTCCCCAGACCCTCATCTTGCGGGATGCCTTCGTGCACTGGGCTTCCCCTTTTACAAGTAATATATATATATATATATATATATATATATATATATATTTCAATATGAAATATACTACTTCTCTTCTTTATAAGTAGCAAGGGTTTAACTTTTGTATTATACACATACTCTACTTTGAGTTGATTTTATCTATTCATGCATTAACACATTATATTATGAAAAACTGTTAAATTTGTTTCAATTTAAAAGTTCCAAATACTCTGTATAAAATTTTCTAATAGCCTGTTAATTATCAAAATGGTCTAAGTCATGCATTGGCAAATTTGAAAGTCAAACTGTCCCAACTAAGTAAGAATGGAGGAAGTATTGTTTTATTATATTTAGGTATTAGTGTATTACGGAGTACATGTTATGAGAATTGTGGCCAAGGTGGGGCCTAGGCGATGAGGCAGTCTGCTGGCACCATGCCTTGCCTAGCCGCCGTTACTACCTTGACATAGTCTCATGTTATTTCTCATGCAAGTGGGGGAAAAACCAATCATGATGTTGGTTTCCGAATTTCAACCCGTTGATTTAACTGAAGAATTATGTAACATGAAGGAGAACTGGAGCAAAACTTTGCTTCTATCAGTTCTATGTTTTCTTGCAAGATATATAATATTAACTAATATTAGAAATTTAAATGGCACTACAAATTTCATATCACCGACCTCAACAACTTGGGATTGTGGTGACCGTAAGAATCTGACGTGACATTGAAATAACACGGAGTAGTAAAACAAAAGCATGTAGCAACATACCATTTGGCTTGTAGTGCAAGAAACAGAGCTAAAACATTTTGTTAACCATCTAAAATTTGTTAAAAAACAAGGGTGTAATTTTATATTCTGATGGAATATTAGTACAATCGTAGATATAACTTATGCTACATAATTTTGCTGCCTTGAGTTTTGTTGATGATCAAGTACATAATTGCTTTTTTAGGAACTTGGTGGAATCAGTACTTCAATGGAACGACAAAAAATTATATTGCAAGAGCTAATGATTGTTGTTAAAGATATGCTACGCAATACAGAGGTAGCTGTTCGTTCTTTCATGATGTTACGCCCAAGGTTTCTCCATCAGAGTGCACCTGCCGCAAGTTCAGCAACTGGATCACAGGCATCTGGGGCAATAGTAGCCGCACCCTCAAGTTCTCAAGCAGCAACTATACCCAGTTTTCCTGTTTTTGATTTTTACAGTGGGATTCCAAAGAAGCCCTCTCCATTCCTGCAGCAAACAGTAGCTAGATTTGAGAAACATCTTGCTGAATGTCGACAGTGGGTTGAAGAACTGGAGCAGTTGATCATGTTAGATTCTTCTAATAGAAATTCTTTCAATTCCAATGCATCACTCTTGCAGTCACTTCCACAAGTCATGTCAAATGTGCATGACTTTTTTGTTCATGTTGCAGCAAAGGTAAGAGAAACTAGTTTTATTTGAAGTGTAAGATCGTTTCTCTCTAAAAAAAAAAGACCGTTTCTCTAAACTATGATGAATCTAATGTAAGATCTTTAATGGGGAAGAAAATTTATTTTCTTTTCTTGATGGTCAAAATTCTCTGAAATAGATGTGGTAGTATTTTATTATGGTTAATCTCATATTCTCATGAGGTGCCCTCTGAGTATTGAGATTTTTTCATCCAATTCCCAGGACATCATTTTGTTTCATCAAATTTTGTTTTGTTTACTCTCCTGAAATTCAATCTGCGCACTGCGTAAAATTAATACTTCGTAGGATACAATGTTTCACATTCATAGAATCATCACTTTAATTTCAGTGGATGCGTAGTGTATTGAGTACATGCATATGTTTATGACCTAAATCGATTTGAAAGTGAAGTGAAAAGAAATTCAATGATACTCTCTTATTTCAATTCTATAGCATGAGTTCAGATCCTTTGAATATGCTGGATAAAATCTGAGGCACATGATCAACTTCTGTTAAGGACTTGGTGTGAGGGCAAGGGGTGGAGTGGGGTGGGGAGGATTGATTGGTTCAATATTTGCAAACAATGTCTTGAGTTGGATGAGACCAGACAACAATAGTTGAACTGTTGAAGCCTTGAAGGGAGTCGTATGGAATCAACCATTTTATTTATTGTAAAATAGAAATTGTTGTATTGCCTTTTTGGGTTCATCATTGGTTAATCTTTCTTCTTCATATTGGAATTAATTATACATGTTGCCCTTACATTTTATTTTAGGTAGAGAGCATCCATCAATACATCGAATCTATGAAAACGGCATACCTTATTGATCAACGACGACGAGGAGATGCTGGTGATCCTTTTCTTGAAGCTGACCGACGGGAAACCGCCAAGCAAGAGGCTGCTGCTAGAAGGGTTCATCCAACCTTACATTTGCCCGCACCGCCAAAACCACCAACTCATGTTACTGGGTTGCAGTCCAGCTCAGCCATGCCCGGATCATCTACTGCACCACAAACATCTGCTGTCATTTCAAATAATTCGGCTGCAAGTGGGTCCTCACTTTTTAGTACCCCTGCAATTGCCACCTCATCATCTTCTCTTTTTTCTACACCCACCACTTCTGCTCCGACAGCCTCATTGTTCGGGTCTGGTGCTTCCCCACAGACATCACTATTTGGCCCTTCGTCCACCTCTACACCAGCATTCTCTAATCCTTTGTTTGGCTCAACCCCATCTTCTGCAGTTACAAATTTTTCAAACCCTTTTGCATCAGGTAATCTATAAAATGAGTTGTATGATGGTTTATTCTACCTTGTTAATCAATTGGTTCCCTTAATCCCTTTCCTTTTATTTTTTCATAAAAAATGTGTTAAGTGTTCAGGTTGTTTATAATATAGAGATATGCGTGCTAGTTAATATGAAAATAAAATATTAGCAGTAATATTTTGATGAAACTCTCAAGTTGAAAAAAAAAACAACGATAAATGTTATTTACGCAACAGATCTACAGAAGCATCCCTTTAATGTAATCTAACTACGGGTTAGGTCATTAGTCATTACTAATGTCAACCTCAACGTTGATGACCTTGACCACTAATTCACACTGTTTTTTCCTCTTCTCTGAGATTTCACTGTATATGGCACTTGCATGACACTATTTACAAGAGATGATTGTGGTTTAAGAATCTTGGCATTTTTAGCAATGGCGAGAACTCAGCGGTTAGCCGACCCCAAAATCTTTTGGGAATTTGGCTTGGATGTTGTAGTTGTTATTGCCCAGAACTCAGCAGTTATAATTAATAACCATCTTACTAGTCATTATATTTTGCCCCTGTTATGTTTTCCTCCTTGTATTCAATTTTCTGTGGGAATTTCATTTTTCACAGTCCTCATCTCTTATGATTTTTTGTCTTGTAGGAGCTGCAGTAGGATCAGGGTCAAGCTTTGGAACTTTATCTGTGAGTGGACCTATGGTTCTCATCATAGATTTGAGTATCTCTTTCCTGATAGTAAATACTCCCTCCTCCGTCCCGTTGGAATGTTCCCGGTTTGATCTACACACATATTAAGGAAATAAACTTACCAGGCGGTAAATTTTACTCTTTTGACACTGTTTCGACACTGTTTGGCACTGTTTCGACACTGTTTGACACTGTTTTGCACGGTTTGACCCTGTTTTGATTTAGGATAACTTTCCATTTAGGGAAATGAGAACTTTCCAACGGGACATCCAAAAAAGGAAAGCGGGAACATTCCAACGGGACGGAGGGAGTATAACCTTAGGATGTGTTTGGGGGGGGGGGGGGGGTAGAGTGAGAGAGGATCAGTTATCTTTCATTTCACTTGATAACATTTCAAAACAAATGTTATCGAGTGCTTTAGTATTTGAAACGGGTGATATAAAATCATGAATCTACTACATAAACTCAATGTCCGTTTCATTAACTATTTCCATGAATCATAAAAAGTACATCTCCTTACCTCCATAAACCCCTCCTATGTACTTGCATATTACATACCTTAAACAGGATCTCAATCTCCATTTGTTGGAATATTAACCACACTTCATAGCATTTTGTTTGCTGTTTTAAACTATCTATGTTGCTATAATGTTTTTCCTTGTTGCTGTAGAAAACAAGAGCTAAAAGTCGCACAGGAAGACGCTAAATGATATAAGTGTGGATGATAAGTCCACCCTACATTCGCTTCCAATGTGAGCTGTTGCTAGTAAATCTATATACTTCTGTCCAAGACTTCAGTGATCTTCTTCACTGTTCATTCCTTGGATGTGCTGAACTTCTTGCAGGGGATCTAACGTGCAGGCACAGAACCATTTCCCAACTTCCTTTGTATTTCTTTGGGCTTCACTACTCACAGAGTCACAGGTGCATGTTTTTGTTTTATAAGATTCAAATGTAATATTGTAAAATTTATTAGTTTCTGTTCATTTTAGATGACCATTTGTACTGGTATATTTTTATACAGCATCATTTTTTCAATTTAGAGGTATCGTATGATACATTGATACTTTGATCTTTTGAGGACGTTTAGCTGCCAAGTAGATCGTGTTTCATTCTAGGTTGGGACATGGGGGAGCCACAGTCAGGAGTCCAAACAGGGCTGCAATTACAATGAATTTTTTAGAAAAAATTTCAACACAACTCTTTACACTAATATTTGAAGTTTTTTTATATTTGAAGTCCGGGCCTAACATAGGTCTCTAGCTCCGCCCATAACCATGTTTGAAAAGTAAAAATGCACAAACAGTCCCTTTGAGCAGGTAGTAAGTTTCGATTTATGATTGAATCTAAGATTTTGAAGAGTAAAAATGTTTACCAGTTCATCACCACTAGGCATGGACCGGCTGGTCTTGAATGCGTGTGTGTATTGAACTGAGACATTCCATATTTCCATGCTTGCAAAACAGCATTTTGAAACAAGTGTTTGTGTTTAAAGTTAAGTAGCTTAAAGATGAAAGCATGAGTGCTTTAAAATGCTTTATTATCTTCTATTACAAATAACTTTTACACCAAACATTTTCTCCCTCTGTCCCAGTGTCCCACCCAAAAAGGTTGATACATTTTGAATTTTTTGGTCAATGATGGTTAAGTTTGACCAATGATATCTTTTAATACAAAATTATTTAAAATATGAAAATTATATGAGCATAATCTTTATTAATTTTTTTTACATAAAAGTATAAAATTTATAAATTACAAACAAATATAATACCTAAAATCATTGTCTAAATTTTACCACTCTTGACCAAGAAAAGTCAAAATGTATCAATTTTTTTTTGGGACAGAGGTAGTAATTTTTACTTATTAAATATCACTTTCATTTTATATATCACCAATTTTTATTGTTAGTCATTTTTCATATAATCTTTAAAATATAACTTTCAAAAGCAGAAGCAAATGCAAAAGTTGTAACTTTCATTCTATGAGCGGCTGATAACTAGTTTGAAATATTCATCATGGCTTTGCATTGCCTTTTTTGAACTTGGTCATATAGAGGTTAGAATCCAACCGACACATGACTCGTGACTCGTGACTAAGCAAAACTACAGAATCAACTATGCTCATGAAGAGTACAATAAAAGCTTGTTTGGTGACCCTACTTTTGTCGTATGAGGTTGGTCAGTCACCTTTTTCACTAAAAATGTAATTTTTGATTTAACGCACTAAATTGTGTAATGATATGAAAAAGTAATGTTAAGTTTACTTTTCTAGTTATATTGATTGAAGTTATTGTAGAGAATCATTTTAGTTATTTATTCATGTAATTTTTTCTTTATTTTATTAATAAAATATATTTTAAACATAATTTATTTTTTCATTAATGACCAATATCAGCCAATGCAATTAGAACTTCATAAATTTAAGCAGAATCAGCTGATTCAACCGACTTCAGTGTTATCAAACGGGCTCTAATTTGGTGCTTAGACGAGAAGCACAAATTCAACATGTGAAAAAAATCTGAACATATTTTCTTTATTCTGAAACGGATCCGTTAGATGTGCTTAACTGGTTTAATTTACATAAAACACCTCTCTCACACAGTTAGAGAAAATATATAGTTGCTCCAGATGAGTAAATTAGAGTTTTTATTTAAATTGATTAGAATTGATAAGGCCCCACATTATATTAATTGTCCTAGAAGAAAATTGATAAAAAAGTATGAAAGAAAAAATAAATAAGTACGAAAATCTAGAAAAAAGTCTGGTAACAATGAAATCAGTTGAATTAGCTAATTGTGCAAAAATTGATGAAATCCTGACTGAAGTGACTGAATTGTCTGAATATACTGAATTATGAAAAAACTATATTCAAAATATACTTTACAAATAAAATAAAGAAAAAATTATATTAAAATAGCTAAAATGATCATTTACAATAACTTCAATCAATTTAGTCAACAAATTAACTATCATCACCTTACTTATTTTGATTATTAAACAATTCAACACTTTAAATCAAAAGTTATGAATTTGGTGAAAAATTGGCTCATAAACCCAAAACAAAGATGATCATTGTGATGGGACTTGTTATGGAACGAATTTGGGCCGGGTAGTTGTGAATTGTGATGGAACGAATTCGGACAGAGGACAGTGTGTGCTCGCTCAGTTCAGGGAGATTTTTTTGCATATCAACCCACCTTTTGGAAGTCGAATCCAAATGAACTGTATCGGCATGCAAACATACTCTATGAATATTTTGTGCAAACATGGTTGACCTATCATTCTATTGCCCAACACAATAGCCCAAAAGTATTACCCTTCATTATTTATATTTATGAAATCAATATGACTAATTTATTTAGTTTCCAAGTACATTCTTTCATGAGTAATACATTTGTTCAGAGTTTCAAAACATAAAACAAAGTCACATTTTTTAAAAGAACCAGAAGCCTGCATTATTGCACTACTAGACGCATTGAGGGGAGGGATCCAACAAAATATCCATCACTTTTGAGAACTACAAACAATCAAAATGATTGCATATTTGCATTAAACCAAATCATTACTGAAGCCCATAATAATGTTGAATGTAAACTATTATTCGTGAGGATATTCTTGAGCCGTGATAGGTAAATTGGCCCTCTGGCTCACTTCCAATTCTGGATGTTTTTATCCCACTTACTAGGATGGTTCTTCTTCACGCTCCGACCCAGGACACCCTTAGGTCCCGGACGCTAATCTTTCGTACGACCTCTCGATAACATGATCATGTTGTTTGCTAGTGAATCTGAACCATTCACACTCCGTTTTTAGTGGGGAACTTGGTGCAGGAATGCCAAATGACTGCAACACTTCCAAGTTTTCTAATCCCGACGTCTAAGGGTATGTTTGAGAGTTTGGAGGGAAGGGGAGGGGAGAGCTTTGGAGGTATGTTGTTGGAGGGGAAAGGGAGGGGAGGATGAGGAAGCTCTTCTTTGTATTTGGGAGTAACAAAATTGAAAGGGGGAAGGTTTTTGATGAAATTATAATTAAAATCACTTTGAGATATGACGAATTCAAATCATTGAGCTGATATTCATTTTTAATTTAGCTTAAATTGTCATTTTGTTAATTACCCTCCAAAACCATCCAAATTGAGGGAAATTAAAAATTAGGCATTTGAAGGGTTTTAAAGGGTTACAAAAGCCCTCCAAAATCATCCCCTCCGATTTTTTGAACTCCCAAACATGAAAAGAAGGATCATAAACCCTCATTAACCTTCCCCCTCCAAAACCCAACTCCCAAACACACCCTAAGTGACATACAAAGTATTTATCTTCACATATTAAAATCATATAGTACGGTATTGAAATTATTACAACCCAAACAACACGATTATCATCAATTACCTATTATATTATACACCCGTCAAATTTATGCTGAAACTATATTCAAATTACCTTATTTAATTATTAACTAAAAAGTGTGTCATCGGTTTAATGTGAACCTTGAACGGGACACACTTTTCTGACCATATTGTTAGTCAATATAAGTTTACAAGTTAAGACTTTTCTGTAGAAATTGTGAAATAATTTTTAGTTTGTCAAGTACTAGACGCAATATAATCTTTTAGACTTCGGACATTATAGTTCAAGTCACGTATTAAAAAACAACATTTCTAGATGTCTACTGAATATAAACGTTTAAATACTTTATTAAAGAAACATAACTTTAAAGGAAAAATGTCAAATAGGTACACGTACATTTAGTAAAAAGTCAATTGAGTCCAAATACTTTTTATCGAATCAATTAGGTTCGCAAAGTCTCAAAAAACAACCAAATTAGCTATTTAACGGGTAACCAACCGGTTACCCAGTCAACTGCCTACGTGGATGTACTAGCTGGCATTTTTTATAATTTTCTATTTTTTTTCTTTTTTTCCCTTTTTTTTCTCTCTTCTTTTTCTCCCTCCCCCTTTTCTCTTTCTCTCTTCTTCCTTCCTTCTTCCTTGTCCACTCTCCCCTGCTCTCGTCCGCTTCTTTCTTTCATGCTTGCACTGAACCTTCTGCCACTTTCTTCCAATCACTCCATTTTTGCCGCCTGCGCCTCCTCCCATTGGAACGACCAACGCCGCGCGGCCTTCATTGCCACCACTCATTTCCGGTAGCCGTACTCATTTCCCCCCTTCAAGTTCAGACCGTTTTGCTCCGAGACTAGATCGGATCTTAGCCACTAACCTGAGGATCGTGTTGATAAATATTGAACAATATGTCACTACATCAGACCTATTTTTCGATGAGCCTCGGCGCGTCTGGTCCAACCGTCCAAGCTTCATCGGGGCAGAATTGACGGCGTAGAGTGAATGGGAAAAGAAATTGAAAGTGGCGACTTCTTTCTCCAGACTCCCGAGCATCTAACATCTTTGAGTAGCTACGGTGGAACTCCGGCATCAGCTTCTCACGGTGGTGCGAGAGGAGAAAGAGGGTGACGGCGGTTTCTATGGGGGCGGTGGATATGGATATACGGAGTATATAAGGGTAGCGGAAATTGGGTAAGGACAGTGCAAAGGGAAATGGTCAGAGGGTTGGCAGTGGAGGCTTGAACTAAGCAAAGAAAACGAGATTCATTCTCTAGCAGGGAGAATGAAGAAGAACGTAAAAGGAAAATAAAAAAGAAGAAAGGAAGAGAAAGTGAAAAAGGAAAAAAAAAATAGAGAACAGTAAAAAAATCCAAGCGGACATCCACGTAGCTATGCAACCGGTTTACCGGTTGATAATTGGTTAAAATGCTGATTTGACTATTTTTTAACTCTGTGTGGACCAAATTGATTCATTTTAAAGTACGTTGGACTTAATTGACTTTTTTATAAAAGTAGATGGACTCATTCGACAGTTTTCCCTAACTTTAAATAATAGAACTACTAACTTGTTCACCTGTCAATAATAATAATAATAAATAACACTGGTACTACAAATTCAAATGTATATATCTTTTCAAAGTTTTATATATAGAAAGCTTGTTAATCCATTTTTTAACCAATAATACTACCTCTGTCCCATTTTATGTGTCCTACTTTGGCTTGGCACAATTTTTAATAAAGTGATTGAATAATTTAAAGTTATGGTTGAGATTTGAGTATAACAAAGTGAAATGTTGTAGACCACATATTTATTTTCAGGGAAATGTCATACTTACTTTGGGACAACCCAAAAAGTAAAGTAGAACATGTAAAATTGGACCGAGGGAGTAACATTTTAACTAATAATATAATAACTCAAATCGAAATTGTAGTCAAAATGTGGCTTCATATACTTTTTGTTACTACATATATACGTAGTATTTAAGTAGTTAGTTATTAAATGGTTACTTCTGTTATATGCATTACTATTGGTTGATGCATGATAGTTGGTATCATTAAAGCATAGTTTTTCTATTATTATTAATAATAAAAATCATTCTATCCTTATATTCATTGCATTAGCCTAAAAAAATATAAAAAACAAAAACAAAAGAAACAATAGTCAATAGGAGAAAATGGGGAGCAGAATAAGAAAGATACCGGAACAGTTGGGATCAAGGCGCATGCAACTCTGAATCTCAAAAACTTTGAGATACTATCCCCATTAGTCAAAACCTGAGGCGGAGGAAACCAAAGAAAATCAGAAAAACAAAACAGTCAATCATCAACAAATTTCAGGCTCAGATCGATTCTTTGAAATCAGAGCCATAAATATCACCCCCAGAAGTTGAACCCCTTATTCACATTTTTGCTACAATACAAATAGCATCTTCTTATAGCATGGGGGCATTGATAGATCAATAGAATTTGGGACTGGTTAGTCCTTAGACTTGGTCAGGCCCTAGGCTCTAGGACCAGTTATTTTGCTAGGTAGTTTAACTTCTTTTTTCTACTGCTCCATGTAAGTTTCTTCATTTCCACTAAATTTTGCAAAGCATAAGGGTTATTTCTCCCCTTGCCTCTTTAGTCTCTGACAGAGCCTAAAACAATAAAGTATGACACTAATAGGAAATTACCCAGGAGGAGGAAGAGAAGTTGCACTACGATTAGTCCATGCAACCACAACCGGTTGGACGAGATGGGTTGAAAGGAAATTTTCAGACAACAGAATTCATCAGTTTTGAAAATATAAAGATCAATTCAACTCGATAAATTTATCAGTGCAACCTTTATTGATTAATATGGGTTGGGTTGGGTTGATGATGGTTCAACTCATACTAACCAACTTAAATGCAGGTTGGAACATTTAAATTCCAAATTAAATGAAGGTTGAGGTAATTAAAATCTAATATAGGTTTTTGTTTTCCCATTACAAGAGTGTAGAAGAGACCCTTCAAAGTCCCGGGTGTACAGAGTCCCTACCTCTTCTCACTGTACAATGTAGTCCACGGTAGAGGGCCTCAGTTGGCAGTGACGTCAAAATGCCAATAACCCATTGGCCTCTATCATTTTTTCTTTTGCATTTTAAAATCATGAGCTTTTGAAGGTGCCATTGCTGTCCAACTGATTATTGCCCTGTTTGGTAGCATGTATTGGCTTCTTCTGATTATTAGCATAATCAGCAAATAATAATATTAAGAAAAAGTAACATGTGACTTGCTTATTTGGCTGAAACCGCTTTAAGCAGGTCTTTTACTTTCAGAAAACTAAAAGACTCAATTATTTCAGCCAAATAAGTTTAACCAAACATGCCATATGTCACAGTACATCTATATCTAATGAATGAAACATGCACACACCACATGGTAGTTGAATGAGAAAAAATTAAATTAAGCTCTTTCTTAAGAACCTGTAAGGTCAAATTCACCAACTTCTGAATGTGTCATTGTTTCCAGCAACCCGTGCAACATAGCTTCCATTATTCCACTCTGTGGGTGCGACAGATCTAAAGAAGAAAATACACATGTCTTGTTCTTCATTCCCTCTAACCAACTAAAACCCGGATCTTTCTCAATCACCGTCTCTTTTATCTTTCTCCTCATCTCTCTGACACCGTCCCATCTTCCCACAGCAGCATAAAAATTTGAAACTAATATGTTTGTTGCACTGTCCGTAGCATCCAAATCCAACACATGTCTGGATGCCCGAATCCCTACTATTAAATCTCCATAGCGAACACAATAGCTCAGAAGAATCCTCCATGCTTTAAGATGATGATAATCACCAACCGGAAGTTCTTCAATAATGAACTCTTCTGCCTCCTCTAGCAACCCCGCCCGACTCAACAATGCAATCATGCAGGAGTAGTGTTTGGGTCCCGGTTTTATCCCTTTTTCTTTCATGCAGTTCCATAAGTGCTTCGCCTTGATGAACAAACCACAATGGCTACAAGAGGTGAGCAAAGACAAAAATGTTACCTCATCTGGTTCTAGACCATTGTTTATAATCTCATTGAAAGTCCCGAATGCATGTTCAGGCTGCCCATGATATCCATACCCTCCCAACATTGCATTCCAACATTTTAAATCTGGTTTATTTGTAAGTGAAAACACAACTTTTGAAGATTTGAGGTCTCCATTTTTGGCATACATATCCACAAGATTCCCACAAATACTCATTTCAGAACCACACCCTTTCTTCATCACAAGGCAATGCACCATCTCTCCTTGTCTAAGAGTTGCTCCTTCCGCACAAGTGTTGAGAATTGCGCTAAGAGTGAATTTATCAATCTCTAGACCGTTCTGGAACATTCCATGGAATAATCTGAGAGATCCATCGGTGTCACCGATTCTACAATGGCCAACTATCATGTCAGTCCAGAGAACTATATCTTTCTCTGAAACTGAAGAGAATATCTTTTGTGCTGAATCAGCTTCATTGTTGTTAAAGTACAAGGTTAACAATGTGCTCACAATATAGACATTACTCCCAAGTCCTGCCTTCTCAACTTGGGCATGAAGGGGTTTCCCATAATACTCCGCCTGAAATGCACATGTGGCAGAAATAATAGATGCAAAAGTATATCCATCCGGTGGGCTTAGAGATCTTTGTGCAAACTGGACAAACATTCTCATTGCACTCTCTCCGTCTCTGTTCTCTGCATATCCAGATATCATTGAGTTCCAAGACACTGAATCTGGATTGTCAATCTTTTTAAAAACATCCAATGCTGTTATCACGTCACCACAATTACAATACATATCAAGAAGAGCATTGTGTAAAGGTAGATCAGCACATACCCCAGATAGGATCAACTGAGCATGAAGAAGTTTCCCTGTGCGATAATCTCTCAACCTGCTACATGCATTCAATAACATAGAGAAGGTAAAATGTGTGGGAATAACTGCAGTTCTCAGCATGGTTTTGAAAAGTTGGAAACATTCTATGATATCACCATTTCCAATGTGCCCGAAAATTAAAGAATCCCAAGCAAATGAATCTGCTTGAACCATATAGCTAAAGACTTTGTTTGCATGGACCAAATCGCCACAGTTCGAGTACATCCCCAGCAGAGATGTCTGGACATGAACATTCATCAGGTAATTAAACTTCAAACACTGGGCGTGTATCATGCAACCCAGAATCCAGTTTTTTATGGTAGATGATGCCTTTAATAGGCTCGTAAAGGTTGAGGCATTGGGGGTGAGTCTCTCCTCTTGCATCCGTGTCAATAGTTGGAAACAGAAGACACCCAGACGAGGACTAGAAGAATGTGCAGACACCAGGGCGTTATATGTGACTACGTTTCTTTGTGGCATACAATCAAACACCTTTCTAGCATCCGAAAGCGATCCGCATCTCACATACATGGAAAGGATGTTGTTGAATGCATACGGAGATTTGGAAGCCGTGGGAGTGGAGGTGAGAATGAGGCCATGAAGCTCCTGCGCTTTTCTGAGGAATTTGACCGTTGTGCCCCTTTGAGCAAGGACAGGGAGGAGGTTGGTTATGAAGGAAGAAGCCTCAAGTGACGATGACATGTAAGAGATCACTACAGTGTAACTTTTTTTACCATCCTCGTTTTACTTTTTGCCATCCGCCCTTTTCCCTTACCATCCTCTTCATTCTCTTCATTCTTGTTGCACCCCCTCTCTCCCCCTACCTTCTTATTTCTCCTCTTTAGACCATTCCAATTTCCAAGCGGGGGAAGTCCAAGCCTTTAAATATGGTTTCCCAAGCTGGGATGTTTTTACTTTGGACTGTAATTTATTGGTCTGATCTGGTCTTTTTTGGTCTGATCTGGTCTGACGTGACCGACTATAAATAAATTACTATAGTTTCTAAAAAGATATCGCAGGTAATCCCTATAAATAATCCCAAATTTTAATTTTTACGCTTAATTTCTATTAAAGATTCACTTGTTAGAGAATGTAATATGCGGTCATGGACCATTATTGGCGGACGGTCCATATAGTTGGGATTTTACAAAAATAATCAATAGTTGAGATTATTGTTAGCAGACCGACAATAGTTAGGATTATTATTTCCAATTTTTCCTAAATTAATTAGAATATTAGATTATTACAAATAATATTTTTTCTTTTAATTTTATATTTGTATAAATTATTAATTAAAATAACGGAAAAATAAAATAAATTATTTAAATCGTTGGATTTCAATATCATTCTGTGGATCATGTTTTCCTCGTCCAACAACGTCAAAATGATAAGAGCTGTTGAGTGTAACATTTTTTAAATGACATTGCGGGTACGCGGTGACGTCAGCGCAACGTCACAATGACATCACCAAATTGAGTTAAAAGCCTGCACATCTGCCACAACCTTATCCCTTTTCTTTCCCTCTCTCAACCCACCATATTCTTTTAACCCCCTTCATCCCTTTTCTCACTTTAACCCCCTACTAGTATTCTACCCGTGCGATGCACGGGAAATAATCATATGCAACAATATATAGCACAAGATAAAAATTAAATATCTGAAATATAAAATTAATACATAAATTAACTTTAGATGCATATATCAGAGTAGCATGTTTAATATTACCAATATAAATATATAAATGAAGAGAACGAATGTTGAAAATTTCGGAATAATAACAATTTGAAAACAAAATGTCTTGCAAATTTCGGAATACTTCCTTAAATACAACATTAGTTGTTACATTGGTACTTTTCCCATCTACATCACATATAGCTATTTTCAAACCTGCAGGATTAGTTACACGTGAAAACGTAACATATAACTGATCATGACTAAAAACATGTTTTTTCAAGACTAATCCAACATTGGACAATGATTGTCCTTGACTCTTATTTATCGTCATAGCATATGAGACATAAGAGATTAAGTTAATCAAGCAAAGCATGCCTATCTAACAGTACATCTTATATAAAAAAAGTTAATAATTTTAAGCGATTTTATAAAAAACAACTATAATCAAATACTAATTGGATATGAAAAAAATAACACTTTCAATTTTTCTACATATATTTTAAAATATTTATGTTATTTGAATTTTAAAATAAATATATATTTTTATTCACATTTGGGTTAGAATCAATATAATACATCACAAATTTCAAAATAAAAGAGCCATCTATTTTTTTTAAAAAAAATCTATCATTGAATTTTAAAAGGGGTAATTTGAGTTTGCACCCCATATTATTGTCTAAATTGGTTAGGGTGCAAAATTATTAATGGAGGGGCATTTTTTTCTTTTCATATGGGGTTAGGGTGCAAAAACAAAGACTTTTTAAAACGGGGTGCAAAGTCCAATTTAGACAATAATATGAGGTGCAAATTAAACTCAAATTACCCCATTTTAAAAATATAAATTTATTTTATATCTTATGTTTATAAGGATAAGTTTTTAAAACATTTTTGTTATCTGAATTTTAATATCATAAAAGATATATGTAAGCAAATATTATATCTATACGTAATGTATAAACACATATTTGAATCAGTCCAGATCATATTAATACAGCCCAGAATTTAGCCCAATCCGATCCTAGCCCAATAGCCCAGAACCCAATTTAGAAAAACACAAATCTCCACCCTATCGGCAAATTCAACAGCCCCAATTCCCAGCCGTCCATCTTTGTTCTTCGCCGCTACCTCAAGAAGGTTACGTCGATCGGCAAATTCAGCAGCCCCGATTCTCCACGTCTTCCATATTTCTTCTTAGCCGCTAAGTCGAAAAGCTTATGCAGATTTAAAACGAAACCACCAACACAACAATCGAAACACGCCACCACATCTCCACATAACTCCACCATAGCCGATCATCGTTTTCGAGCTCTGAGGCGTCTTTTATGTTGGTCGTTAAGTGTTTCAAGGTAATCATCAACTACTATTGTTAGATAAGTGTTTTTTCTTACTAATTGTAAACTACACCAAGGAGATTCCCTTATATAAATGCATGCAAATTGCTAATTGAGTACTACTTAAAATGATGTTATTGTTAGTATAACATGCACCGTAATATGTAAATCCCATTGTAATTAGGTCAACCGCTAATAGGAGTATAAGTCTTTTTTTTTTCAAATTTGAAGCATAAATCAACATGTATTCTTAAGTTAATCCAGAATTCACTCTATTTTGATTATTAATCCCTTATGGGAGTTTACTGTTTAAAATTAACCCACATGTGTATCAAGATAATTCATTTGTTTCATTGATGATAAATAAAATCTTAAAAAACATGATACTCTATGAAACAATGTAATTTTTTTTATTAACAATATCATATATAATTATTTGTCGAATTAAATTAGTATCACCATTGTTAATGCAATTTTTTTTTGTCAAATTCAATAGAATTTAGGTTGTATTAATTATATATATATATATATATATATATATAACCAACATATGTTTCTGTTATAATCAACATATGTCGAATTCATTAGAATCAACATATGTTGAACTGAACTACGTTGTACATTCGTTTAATTGTTTTTTTAATCTATCAAAGCAGTTGAATTTTTTGTTATAATCAACATATGTCAAATTCTTATGTCAAATTCATTAGAATCAACATATGAAAGTTTTTTTAATTCAACTACTGAACTGAATCATATATTATTGTTGTTATTAATCAATAATAACAACATTCTGCACTATACTTAATGTACTTTTTTGTACCAACTTTGTTTTGTCACTAAAAAATAATGTAACAGAAACAGGTAACACCCTGTTTTCTACACCATCTTCTGATGCTGTTTCAGATGTTGACACAAAACAAAAATGGTATACATCTCTTCGGTCCTGATAGCAGGAAAGACTTTTTGGAGCTAATATTACAGCTGAAGATGACCTAAGTTGTCATCTTTGTAGGATCTGAAAGCCAGCAAATGCTTAGCTTCAATCCCCCCTACTACTATCACGAGGCTGCTTTTAGTGGAATACACTCAGGTAAAATACATCAAACCTCCCAATTTTTTTATTAAACATTACAAAATATAAAAAAAATGTGCATATCCACTTTGCATTCCCATCTAAATTTTAAGGATTGTTACACGTACAATGTTACGGCACACCTGCCACCTAAAACTCCACAAAATAGTTCTGTATTATACTTTACCTTTATCATGGATGATACGTACACCTCTTTTTCTCATGTATTGTTCACTCTCCGTAAGTTTCACCATTTTATTTCTAGAAAATATTCGTTTTGTAATTTCTACTATCCATTTTTCAATATATCATTTATTTTATCAAAACATTTTTAGACTCTCTGCTAGACATGTACGTCAAGTGCCAATTATTTTATCTAAACATTTTAAAACATTTTCAAACAATTATTTTTCAAACGCTGCCTTACAATCTATATACATCAATTTAAGCTCGTTGCTACATGTACATCAAGTGAGGACATCATAACTGAATGTAAATATAGCAAATATCTACTTCCTTGTCATGAAACCCACACTCGAGACTCCTAACTTCACCGTCTTCACTTTGTGAGTAATACATCCGCACCAGCCTTACTCTTAAACCCAAATCCTGGATTGAGGAGATACATCCCGAATCAAACCAAACATACCCGCCATTTTTTCACAAATATTGAGCTCAAGTGATGCCTTCGTTTCTACTTGCTATGCACCTATGGTGGGCTGTAAAGATGTTGAGGTCCTTATTTATAGAATAAATTTCAACCCTATTTAATGTTTGAGTGTGTGCACGTGTTTTTTTAAGTTCAAAAGCCACTTTCAAAATCAAAAATAGTTTCATATAACCCCACATCTAACCGGTTGTTCAAAAGTCACTTTCAAAATCAAAAATCATTTCATATAACCCCACATTTTATTTAAACAACCGGTTACTACTAATTACAAATTGTGAAGACCAAAAGCCACCTTAAATAATTCACATGTTTAATATCACACGTTTTCCTAAAAACCTTTTCATAATCTCGGCTGTACACCTTTTCCTAAAACACATGTTTGCCTAAACACCTTTTCCTAATTTGAATTTTGAATGCATAATGCCACCCAAATTCCCTCCCAAACTTCCCCACACTTTTCCATTTTAATATATATATAGATTTAAGTCATCTCTACATTAAATTAGGAGACCAAAATTTTAAACTTTAACATTTTGGACTCCTAATCCCCTACCACTACAACGTCTTACAATTTCATAAATAAGTTTATTAAGCTCCTCCTATTTTTTCCTAGAGCATCACGATTCTCGTGCTAATTATTTTTATGTTGCACGCTTTCAGATCAGAGAAAATCACATAAAGAATGACGTCATTACATAAAGTTTCTCCGTGAGGCCAATCTGGGAAACCACTGCCCCAAACATCTAGTGCCCTCACTAAATTTAGGGCTCTTTCATATTTAGGATTTTTTTCAAAAAATACGAAGAAGTTTTTTTTGCTAACCATATCAAGAAAGATGTCACAAGTTCGAAACTCATCCCAGTCAAATATGCTCACATTTAACAGAGCCGATAGTATAACATTTGAGAAAGTACACCCCAAAAAAGAAGACGATTCTCTCTTGTTCTGTTAATACATTTTACCTTTTTCACGACTTTTTCGGTTTTAGTTACAATTTAATGTTTATGTTTGACTATAATAATTTTAATTACTATAATTATTTATGTTTTCGTGACCCAAATTATACAAGTTATGATGTTGATACCTTAACTATTTTGTGTCATTTT